AATTCCAAGAGCTCAATTTAGGAAAGTCGACTTTGTTCCCCATAAATTATTACAGCAAGCATCGATCATTTGTCCTGTTTTGCCTCGGAAAGGAAGTTACTCAAGGCCCACTGGCGCTGACTTTTCAATAGCTCAGTGGACAAAGAATTCGACCTTCAGATGAGAGAGTTACGCTGAATGTACTCCATATGCGTGTGAGTTTGGATATTGGGTATGGTGACGTCACGCGATATCATCGAGGACCATATCCGTCGCCATCTTCTTTCAGCTGATAGAGTTACATTTTTCAACTCGTTTCCAATTTTTGAAGCCACTACTTTGACGGCCCGTACATCAAACAACAGTTCGGAATCTTTTCTTGAATTCAATCCTTTGAAATTGTAACCTTTTACTATTTCCAATGTTTTCGTCAGATACCTTTTCCGAGGCTTTTCATTTTCCTTCGTGTCTTGACAAATTGGCGATAACGACGGGCAATGTCCAAGGGGAGCTTGAGTACCTTTTCTATCCCTCAAAGATTTATGCTGATAAAACATTTTGGTAAATTGCAATGAACCATTGGTGCATACCCACCCCTCCCTTCCGTTATAAAATATGTTGTGAGGTATGTTAAAGGTACGAAGATAGCAGACCACAATAGAGAGGATCGGTAACGACGTCATATACTTCTATCATAAAAGGTTGTATGATTCTTTTACTTCGAACTCGTCGCTCTCGACCCAAAGCTTGGTTTGTTGCTTTGTTTTAGCCTTGGAAGGTGAAACTTCCCTAATTTTTTAATAACCAAATAATTCTAACCTCAAAAAATAAACATGAGACTTTCTTCAAAGGAATTGCAGAAATTTGAGTCCTGAAAAGACCGCAAGTTTTTGTTCGCAGATGTTCGAGTATAAACCTTTCTATACCCTGAATAATTTTTATCGTTATTCGATTTACAGTAATTTCAATTTGGAATTCCAATTTTGGTTGTTATCATAAGATTTTCATGCTCAATCTTTTATGATTTCACCTCATTGTTGCCATGTTTCATTATTATCCGCATGAATACCTTTAGGGCAACACACATGCAGTAACGTGGTCGGTTTAGCGAACAACGCTTGTAAAACCGCGCCCGTGTTTATTCAGTATTTAGTCTTTATCATCTTCACGCAGGTCACTTCAACTAGAAATGGAAAAGAATCACCGATCGCATACAGAGAGCTTACCTTTTATATAGAACTACTTAAAAAGCTTCAATTGTGCTGTGATTAATACTTTAATTAAAACCCAACCGCTTAAAAGCAATGAACACCGAGGCCTTTCCTTTCCCGTGAAGCGAAAGAAAGCGAATTGCGTTAATTCTGCATGCTGAAATCCACTACCGGTAGTGAAATCTCAACGTGCAAAGCTGAAATATATGAATTGAAGATGAAACATGTTTAGCGGGTAAATTGCTGTACATTTCTTCTCATTGTCCTTTCAATGATGTATAGCAACTATCTTGTCGGTGATAAAAATTAATCAACAATCTTTCTCAAATCATAGTTAATAGTCCCCTCTATTAACTATGCTCAAATGTTACGGCGTTTGACTCTGTCAGAGGGCGAATTTACATTCCTTGATTAAGAGGGAAGCTCACTAAACAATCATGCAAGTTACTAGCGCTGGTTTGAAGCTATGCAATTGATCGAGCCTAGTTATTCTAAATGGGCATCAAAACGTCAAACTGTTTTCGCTGTTTGTGATCATTCTTTTAGAAATTGTTAACTTATCATATTCTACCTCAGATATTTAAATTTCTTTCTGCCAAGTTACATCAAACGGGACATGACTGAGATATGATAGAACGCTCTAAATTCCAACGACTTACTAGTGTAAAGGCAACTCTTGCGAATATGTAACATTGTATTAGTTGTTTTAAAACGGACAGTGCTTACCAAGAACTTCAGTCGCCTTCCGTGCCTTTCTTTAACTTGATAGTTAGTTTTCTCTGTTCGTCCTTTGAGTTTTCCCTGCATACGTCCCACGTCACTCATCAGACAGCCAATAAAATGTGACCATCTGTCCTCGGCACAAAATTATCTTTTCTATCATTTTCGCAGTCATTTTCGCTCGTAGCCCCACCAATGACCCGCTCTTCCTCATGGGTCTCAATAGGGGGGTAACTTTGACGGTTGGCAGTTAAAGTTTTCCGATCTTGACACTAGACGGTTAAATTTCATGGCATTGGACACTTGACGGTCTTTAGGTAGAATTCACTTTTTTTAGAATCAAGTTTATTTCTACATCACGCGCAAACAGTGAATCACGATTGAAATATATTGGTAATTCAGCTTTTTAAACCAGGATCTAGACAGCATTATCGTGCTCAAAATAGCTCAAGTGCACCAGAGTTAAGTATCAGAGTAAATGTTTGGATATAAACCTCACATACTCAAGTAAAGACCAACAATGCATCTATTACATTGGGTTTGACCCTGTAAGCTCATCACCTAATAATACGTACCGAAATGTTTTCGAATTGGCAGCTGGGACACTTATTTTAAATGCAAGGCATTAATCTAGCAGTTAAGCGATTTTTTCTTAAAATTTTCAACTACTTGTCAAAACATTTCGTGGCTGGCTTGACGCAGCGTTTCGTCCCTGACAAGAGACTCATCAGATATACTTTTCGTAAATTTCAAGTGAACTCGTCGAGCATCGCGCTCAAAATCCCATTCGCGAAGCCAAGATGTAAGCAACATAGCATCCTCTTTGCGTTAGTTTACAAAACTGATCCTCAAGTTTTAATAGCGGGACATCTCAAAGCGCTAGTTTTCACTTCTCTACGTTCAGAGGGGCGTTCAAGAGATGGAGCCATTTGTTCGAGGGCCGAAGGAGGATTTACTTACCAAAAATCGCAAGAAATAAATATTTCAGAACATTGCACACCATTAAACCGTGAATCTCTCGTCAGAATGATGCGGTTCTCCAAATAAAGATGAATAATGGTCTTATTTCATGCGAAATGCACCTTATCGCGAAAGTTTTTGCGTTGCGTGAAGCATTTGATCGTGACACGAAATCACTAGGACCTAGTTGAAAATAAATCCAACACAGCAGCGTAAATGTTGTAATTTTAGGTGAATGACTAAGTGAATCAATTATTTTGGTACCAAAACAGGAGAAAGAGCGGCATCTAGAACATCAGTTCCTTTTTCGTACATCATATTGGCTCTTGTTTGTCGAAACACATTGGCTGAAAAAATGTTCCACTGGTCACGCAGTTTAACTGTTTATTGTTTGCAGTTTTCTTTTCCTACCAATAGGATGTAAGAATTTTAATTTTAAAATTCCTGTATACTTGGAGGAACATGTTGAAAAAAATTTTTGTCCTTACAAACAAATAGGAAGATGTCAACCCTGTATTGCTTCAAATGCCTTCAAACGAGCTTTCTGAATGTGCTTTCAATCAGCTCTGTCGTCTCAAAGAAAGTAAGGTAGAACACATTGCTTTCACAGTCAAGTTGAAGTCAAGTGGTAAGAATTATCATAACACCAGCTGGGTGTCGGCAGCTGGTGTGAAACTCGATATTAATGCATTGCTATGTCTACTGTTAACACTCTTGGATCTACCGTACCTACGAGCTAGCCAATCAGAACGTGCAAAAAGCAACATTTTCTTGTGTAGTATGTAAGTACTTTTTCATTGCTATGTCTACTGTTAATACTCTCTTGGATTCACCGTACCTCCGAAATCGAGCTAGCCAACCAGAACGTGAAAAAAGCAACATTTGCTTCTGTAGTATATAAGTACTAAACCATGTTCAAGGTACCAGCCATTCGTTTGAAATGTGGTTTTACCATTGTTTAGACTTTGTTGCCAACTTTATACTCCAAAAAGTCCAGGACCGAGCGATTCATCATTTCAACGGTACCAATGATAACGTAACTTCTCATGTCTATTAACCTGGACGGGGATTTCAACGCACTGTACATGTAGTGCAGTGTGCACATTTCAATAAGTATTCGTGTGATCAAATTCAGAAAACTTTATTTGAACGACTATACTGTACATGTGTGGTACAAATATAACTAACCTCTGTTCACAAATTACTTCTTTTTAAACATATAAACCTCGGGTGATTCCTTCGAAAACTGTTCAACAGTTTTTCCCACCAAGATCCTTATTTATTCCCAATGCAGCTAGAAGAGTGCAATTAAATATAATAACAGTTATAAGTCACATTTCGTAACAATAATATTTATCATTTTAAACTGATATAATTTAAATTCCCTAGTAACAAATTTATGCTGAAAATGTTTTCCATCTCAAATAATCTAGCAATAATCATACCCTATAGTCATACCCAATAATTTACAATCATAATTCTCTTACAAGAGTTATTTATTATAACATAGCGCGCGCTAGTCCTATCTAATTCCTATTGCGTCAACATGAACAAAATCTTTATGTACGCACTGCCGTGCTCAACAAAATGACGTGTGCAGTTTCAAAACAGCTGCAAAATTTCCGTCGTGTGAGTTCCTTAAGTTAAACTTTCGGAAAGCGATATCAGTAAATGAAGACCCGCAAGTAGTCAAGCCAACAAGCACAACGAAAACGAAACACAACAGGCCCGTTTCCCGAATTTATCGGAACAGGAGCTGGAGAAAATTTTAGCTGAAAGACATTCAGCAAGAACTAAGAAGACTACAAATTGGTCTGTGGCGACTTTTAAAGGTAAACGTCTCTGTTGATGACGTTTTTTTTGGTTTCATTTGTTAACTTTACCGAAAACCACTTAATTACAAAATCAACAAAACGATCGGAGACGCCAACATTTTCGGGCAACTTTCATTTCAAAAAACATTACAAAAACGTCATTCAGCACCCAAATTGTTTTCTTATGTTATAAAAGAATTGTTTCATGCTTTCAGCTGTGCGTATATCGAGCTATGGATGCACTTGGGAAGTTTGGAGAGCACTCAAGAAGCTACAGTTGCTCTCGGCTGCGCCTCAAGAAACTCTTACGCTTCTCTCGTGCTCTCCAAACTCCCCGCGTGCATCCATAACCCGATATACGCACGCTAAGCATGAAACAATTCTTAAACATTTCATAATAGCGCGAAATTTTTTGCTGTAAAGAACAAATGTACCAAGCTGAAGATGATCAACAACAAAAAGCCTGAAATTTGGAAATTGCCCCATCTGTTGTTTCATCTAGATGTTAAGTAGATGAACACTTCTAATCAGCCCTCGTACAAATTAACACTTAAAAAGTTACGTGGGAAAAATTATGTTTTGATGGTGGTAAGTCTTGTGGCCTTTCATTTCGCGGCAGTTTTCTCCACAGTAACATTCGTGTCTTAACTTTTGGTCCAGCAAGCAGAAGATCCCTCTTTTAAGGACAGAGAAGCTACGAGTCTGAAATACAGTTCTTCTTGGCCGATTGAAACTGTAACATTAGCGTTTTCCGTAACATAGGATCAACCAGTAAAACAAACTTCTGACCAGGAAAAGTAAAATTACTGTCAGAGCTATCCAGAGTAGCCATTTGCTCTAATGCCTGAGCCCGCGCATCTTTGAGGAACTGTCTCAAGCGGTCTGGGTCACCACTGTCATGCACTCCATCCACCTCTTCGCTCTCGTCCTTTGCGATAACTACTTGGTTTACAATGACCACACTTCTATTGTCTTCTTCATCCTCTTGTAAGTCAATGTCCCTAATAAAGAGAGTTTGCTGGATGGTATCTGAGGCTTGGCCCACGATGAATAACGTGTCTCTGGTCAGCAGCACAGTTCCATCATAGTCCTGCCCAGATGACGTCACAACAGTTGCGTCCAAGTGAAGAAGAAGATCAAGATCTGACTGATTGTGCAGCATTTTCCTGTAAATATTAAATGAATGGATGGTTCTTAAGTGAATTAGGTTTCCAAACTCATCTTCCCAATGACAGATAAAGTTGCTGCAAATGCTTTGATTTTGAACTTAGTCAGTTCAAGCAGCTTGCTAATAGCTTCTCTGCAACAGTGCAACGATGTAACCATGTAACAATAGGGAGGAAAAGTAAAAGCCAAATGAAGATTGATTTCTATGGTATATCGTCAGTAAAAAAGAAAACGCTCCTTCCAAATATAACACTAGTCATTGAATATATAACTTTTTACTCTTTATGTAAAACATCTTAGTTTGTGCAGAAAACTTCTTCCCAGAATATGAAATTTATGATGCATTTTTAAAACATGTGTAAAAATGTATGGAACTCGTATCAAACTTGTAACAATATAAATGTGAAGTGCTGCAAATATAAATCCTGTGGCAAAATATATGGCTGGACGTAACGAAAATTAACGTGATACAGAATTGCCATGAAACAGACAAATTGAGAGAAACACAAGATGCCTTACCAGAAGTATTTCAAATGGCTGTTTGTCGCTGAAAACGCCAACCTTTCTCCCGGATCAAACAGTCGGTTTGGCAGCTCTGTTAAACCGGCCCCTTGTAGGATTCCCTGCCCAGTCTGTGACACGAGCTCCATGGCACCACCCAACGGTTTGGTAACCACACCTATGAGGCCCTTTCCTACACCAGTAATGACACCGCTGGCCGCTTCTCTGACATCATTGGCTCGTCGTATTCCCTGGATGGGCTGATCTACTATGCCCGCTACAGCACCTAGGAGACTGAGACCGAATCCTCCCAGCCCTTTCGATAATCCTGCGAAAGATAATCAAAACTTAGCCCGACGGCTACCTTAGCTTTGAAGAGAAGCGTTACCATAATACACTAAAGACCAGCAAACTTATTAAACCTCTCGTGACCCACATTGTCGTACCTAATGATGCTTTACCACTGAGCTCCAGTAACCTGAGACTCGATTATCAAACCCTGCTCAAAGAATGCATCCCTGTTTAGGCGAGGATCAATGACCGCAATGGAGAAAATGACGAAAAGGACGATGAAACCACTTTTCAGTGGTAACGACGATCATGGGATACAAAAGAGGGCCCGAATAAGTCAAACACGCCTCTGAACCCTGTACCGGTTACCTCTACGAAGAGGCACCTCTGAGTAAGGATCGCTTTCTCTAATCCTGAAGGTTTTTCCGAATTGGACGTTTCATCGCGTTGGTTTAACTGATGAGGACAGTTCTTATGTTTAACATGAATTAAAAAACAGAAAAAACGTAACTATATTGTACCTGTTAGCACTTTCTTTGGTCTTCTGCATCTTTGATCCTCTAGCAGTCGGAGATATTCGCTATCCATACTTAATCGATCCAGGTTTCGAGCCATACTTGACGCAAGACTTGTGATGGATGTCAATGCACCAGTGGAAAGATGCCTGACAAAAGACGACATGCCTCGGGACATACCCGACACGAACGCCCCAGGCCCGCGGGTCAGCCCGTCATATGGCAAATAAAAGAAGTCAGCTACCCCTTGACTGAAGCTCCTCACTAAACCTGCGGGATTCCCGAGGAGTTCAAGAGAACCCAATACCCAGCCCGCCTTGAACAGCGCTGCGGTCACGTAATGATAAGTGAGCTTCTGAACGAGGGCGGAACTTGGGAGATAAACTGGAGACAAGTGAAACTGGCCAAGAGATAGAGGAGAATCATCTACAGACAAAAAGAGCTTGGCAGAGCCGTGAAGAGTTACACTTAGCGTTACGGGAGTTATTTTCAGCTCTCCCATTAAGATTGGCCGAACATTTGAACACGCTGCGTTATAAATTTTTTGTCGATCAGCCTCTAAGTGACTAGATGACGTTGGCGAGAGGTAAAGAAGAGGAGGCAGAAATGATACGGCCAAGTCCCCCAGACGATAAAGAAAAGTGTCTTCGATGTACATTGTCAGCGGTTGAAGAGTAACACACACAGAACTGAGAAATGTGTCTTCTGCGCACGGGCCAGGCTCGTATACGATTTTGATATTGACAAGCGGCTTCGCTCTTGAGCGATGACCGGGTTTTCGCTGTGACGGCACTCTTTTTAGCGTCATTGGAGCGCTACTTGGTGTTAGAATCACAGAAAACTCGTACACGTCGTCTTGCAATTGATTATCGACCTGAACTGCTCCAACGCACAATGACAAGTCCCGGAAATCATGTCTTCCATCCTTCAAAGTTCCTTCCGCAGTATGTTTCACAGAGATACCTTCGGCAGTTATTCGGAAAACTTCGTAGGGATTTCGGAAGTTCGTAACTTCATCTATAATCGTCACCCCTAACTGACAAATGAATAAATCAGCATAGATGACTGGTGAGACAGGTGATACACATTGCACTGTATTGGCCCTCGCACAATCTTCTTCCGACGGTTGAACCTTAACATATGTACAAAGTCTTTCTTGAGTTACAGTCAGCAGAACCTGTCCCCTCCCAGGCAAATTAACACACATTTCTCTTCGAGTGTTCAAGTCAAAGCCATAACTCCACCCCTGAGGAACTTCAGTTGTCATCTCAGCAGCTAACTCTCCCCGCTCACCTTCTTCCTCTGATATTTCTGCCACGTTGACGTCGTACAACGCTTGGATGTGCAGTTCGGGAAGCCGCTGTACCTCACTGGTAGTAGCGAACCATTCACGCATGACAGGAAGTTCATAGTAGGTGGAACTAAAGGCCATGATTACGGGAATCTCACCCAGTCCCTGCATTTGCTCCACGACTACTATTTTTTCAGGAGAACCGCTCACGTGGCTGGGGCTCTGCGGGGGTATCGCCTGTCCAAACTGAAGAGTGAAGGGGCAATCGTTTTGGAGAAACAGACGGGGAGATGGATCTGGAGAAATAACAATGTTGACTATACCGTCGGCAACGTGCGACGTCACAACTACAGGAAGTGTCGCGCTATCATCGACGGACACTGCCACAGATTGACGAGGTATTTCCGGCGTGATCAGCACAGCACGTGACCATTTACGGCCTTTCACCTCATTAGCTGAAGACTGCTGCTCTTTTTCAAGGGCAAGAAACAACACAGGAGATGTTTGGCCACTAAAAGAAGATTCCCCTTTTTCACTGAATACCACAGCTGTGGGCGAAAGCACGTCCCAAGTGGTAATTGGTGTGAACTGTTTGGGATCGTTTGACAAACAAACCGCCGTAGCTCGGGTCACATTGTCCACTGGCAACTGGAAATTCAAGGATTGAGAATATAGGTTAGGAAGCCTAGTTCAGTGATTAAATCTCCTTGTTTGGGAAAAGTGGTATCTAGTTAATCACAATAGACCAAAAGCCGGGTAAACACCACGATGGCTAAACGAGAACTCAGAGAAAAACGAATTTAAACGGAATCCAGCGGAGGGAAACGTTAGTTGACCCCTCCCCACGGGGGCTTCTCCTACCCCTAACCCTGCAGGAGACGGGGCCTGCGGTTTATTCGTCCTTATCCGAGAAGACTAGAATATCTATCCATTTTTTGATTATAGAAAGGTAGCAAATTCTCCTCACTTATTTTAAGAACATGAGTATCGGTCCGACCGGGGCTCGAACCCTCGACCTCCCGCACAACACAATCCGGCGCTCTAATCAATAGCGCTTTATACTATTACTAAAAATAGATTTTGTTACGTGATAACCTATGAGACCCCCCGCACAGACTCAGACAAACATTGCGACCAGCTTAAGGAAATGTATGAGCGAGAGCTGTAAAATTAAAACAAAACGACGGAAAATTTCGTCAAAAAATGACTTGGCGTTCTAAAAGGAAGCGGCATGGTTGGTACCAAACACTGTTGTTGGGGTGAGTGTAAGACAGACTCAAGATATGCAGATAAATGGCCAAAATCACTCAAAGAGTGAAAGGAATTAGGGAAGAAAGTATTCATTCCTTTCCCAAAACCTTCGCGAGACATGGCAAAGTGCAAGCGTTGGCTAGTGGCTTGTTCGCGTGAGTTTTTTACGGAGAAAAA